CCCAAATTTATTTCTTTTGTGTTTTAATCTGTAGCGTGATTTATTTATTTAGAATCTTTCCCCGCTGAGTCAATATAAGAAAACAATAAATTCAACAAGAAGAAAAACTACTCAAAACTTTCTAGCGACTGAAATGTAACTTTTATTCGGATTTTATCTTCTAATTCTTGTAGAATGTTTTCAAAAATTAATTTATTTTCCTTCTGGCGTTTAGCAAATAAATATTCATAAAGAAATGCGTCACTAATTGTTTTGCGCGGCAATTATTCGGGGGAATAAATACACGCGTTGGATATAAATTCAATTCGCTTACTTAAACTATGTAAAACAATATTTTGATCAATTTGAAAGTAAAAACTCCCATTATCATGCGATTAGCAGTGTTACAGATGTTCTTCAATCGACTTTTTGTACATGCAATATTTTCTTGTGCTTATTTTATGTCATTTCAATGGACTCTGTTGGAATGAGAAAATTTTAAATTCAAATGTGTTTATTTATTTATGGAGTTTTACAAAAACAAAGTTTTGATAAAGTTATTCAATGATTCTTTAAATTCAGTTTTATTGTTGACTTTCATTATTTATACATAAAAAAAATTTACGTAAGAATAAAAATTTGCTTCATTAACTGAATCGAGTATAAATAGGTGGCGCAAATAGTATTTGAAGAAACTTTACTTACGATGATGCTTCTACTGTTGTTCTTTGCCACGCAATCTCTGGGTACTTATTTATGTTTTTAAATATATTTTTTTGTTGTTTCAATATTGACATTTTTATTTAAAACAAAAATCACTTTTTATTTGAATATTTTTAATTTAAAAAAAAATCAGTTTTTGCACTCGACTATAAAAAACCAGTGGAATTTGCGTGTGTTCATGACCAAAGGTGAATAAATGCAATTACGTTTTTTTTGCAAACTATTTTTTTTTTTCGTATCAATTGCAGTCAGACAAAATTCAATAATTTTGCAATTGGCTTGAAAACTGCTACCAAAAAGGCAATCGATGGAATGGTTGGCAATCGCAAGAGAATTAATCTACATTTTTTGGGATATGAAAATGAGCTACAAAATTCTAGTTAGTATAAAATAAAATGTAATTCATTGGAAATATGCCAATTTAAAATATTACGAACTATCATTTCCTAGGTGTTTCGAATTTCCAAGCGGCAAAAGGTAATTTGAATTAAGTTTTAGTGGATATATTTACAGTTCGTGAATCATTTTTATCGTAGAATTTATGAAATCATCAAATGTGGCCGTGTGTTTGGTTCAATATGCATATCGTTCCGGCGATCATTTGGATGACCCAAATTGGTACCAAAATTTAATTAAAGAAAGATCGAGTTTTGTGGCTGATGTTGCGCTCGATTTTATTGTTACTATTAATCGCATCAAGAAAGTGAGCCTGGACAATGTGTTTCTAAGTGGATTTTGTCTTGGATGCAATGTAGCTGCCATGGTTGGAGAGAAGGTCAAAGATCGTTTCTTTGGAAAGCCAATTTCAAAGGTCGGCGTACTCACAGGTATTTTAATTTCAATTTACCAATGGAAATTTGTCATTTTATCAACATATATTTTTGATATGAACAGCAATCGATCCACCACGCGCCGGTTTTTCGGAACGAGGCGCAAATCGTGTTAACAAATTGAATGCTGCATTTGTAATTGGAATTCACACGTCAACCCAAAGTTATACTGAATCTTTTGGTCACGTTGACATCTATGTGAATGATCGGGAACAGTTCTCGCCTGGATGTAAAGATCAATCAGCTTGCAGCCATTTGGTGGGTCATGATCTTTATAAATTCATTGTTGCTAAAAGTAAGGCACTTCCATCCATAAATGGTAATCCAGTCGCTTTTAAAGATCCAAAATGCGCGAAAAAAGTATGCAAAGAGGGTGATCATTTTGTTATCAGTCTCACTGATATTGTTACCGATACGAAAAAGTATGGTGATTACTTTTTAAATACCGGAGACATTTTCGAGAAGCCCAGCGAAGAATTGATCGGTATACATTGAATCCAAATGGAATTAAACTTTTTTGTTTTTTAATTAAATAAACAAGAAAAAATCATGGAAAGTCATTGGAATCAACCAAATTTTATTGAAAAAATAAAACTGTATTTTATATTCTTTCGAAAAGTAAACTGTATATAAAAAACATTGATTTTTTAAGAGACAAAAGTCCTTAGAACGAAATAAAAAC